AATACACTTTCCGTGAGCTGTCAGAGCAGCAGAGTCATCACACAGCATGTGGTCTCTGAAAAGCTCCACTGTAGGCCTGTAAGAGAATAAGAGAGAAAAAGACAAATAGCATCAGAGTATTTTTATCAGAAGAGTTTTGACCTCATGGACTTGCAGAAAGGGACCCAGGGAATTCCAAGTGTCCTAGATCTCAGGTTGGAGCCACTGTCTTCATATAAATGTTTTCTTAATCTAGTCCCTTTTGCATTTTGGAGGCAAAGGAATCACTGGGGAGGGGGTGGGTATTGATTGAAATGCAGATTTTAGGGTCCCATACCGAGAGATTCTGATTCAGTTGATTTGGGATAAGGTTCAAGAATGTTCCTGATTAAAACTCACGATGCCCAGAATTCCCTGGCGGTCCAGTGGTTAGGACTCAGTGCTTTCACTGCCGAGGACCTGGGTTCAGTCCCTGGTCAGGGAACTAAGATCCCACAAGCTGCAGTGCACGGCCAAAATAAATAAATCACGACCCCCACTCCTCCTACCCTTCACCACCAACCCCACTCCTTAGTGTTTTGATGTAGGGGTCTGAAAATTCACTTGACCGACCCTGCCTATATCTCATGGTTGTTAATATTCATTGTTATCAAATTTACCCTGAATATGCACACTGGTATTCTGGATCAGAGAGGGATTTCATATTAAATACCTCATAGTAAATAGTAAGTTCATCCATCCTTCTTGGAACAGTCTTACCCCTGAGGTGATGTGATGAGTGTCAGGTCCCTCGTCCCACTATGGAAATAAATCTCTCCAGAAGCCTGATAGCCTGGGTGTCCCTGCTTTTGTGACCTTGAGAACTGTCTAAGTTCCAGGGGCCATTCCTTTTTTTTTTTTTATTGAAGTATAATTGATTTACAATGTTGTGTTAATTACTGCTATACAGCAAAGTGACTCAGTTATACATATATATATATATATTCTTTTTTTGTATATTCTTTCCCATTATGGTTTATCACAGGGTATTGAATATAGTTCTCTGTGTATACAGTAGTACCTTGCTGTTAATCCATTCTCTATATAAATGCTTACATCTGCTGACCCCAATCTCCCACTCCATCCCTCCCTCATACCCCTCCCCTTTGGCAACCACCAGTCTGTTCTCTATGTCCATGCTTCTGTTTCTGTTTCATAGGTAGGTTCATTTGTGTCGTATTTTAGATTCCACATATAAGTGATGTCACATGGTATTTGTCTTTCTCTTTCTGACTTACTTAGTATGATAAATAGTAGTTACATCATGTTGCTACAAATGGCATTATTTCGTTCTCTTTTATGGCTGAGGAGTATTCCGTTGTATATATGTACCACATCTTCTTTATCCATTCATCTGTCGATGGACATTTAGGTTGTTTTCATGTCGTGGCTATCGTGAATAACGCTGCTATGAACATAGGGGTGCGTGTATCTTTTTCAATTATAGCTTTGTGGATATATGCCCAGGAGTGGGATTGCTGGATCATATGGTAATTCTATTTTTAGTTTTTTGAGGAACCTCCATACTGTTTTCCACAGTGGCTGCACCAACTTAAATTCCCATCAACAGTGTAGGAAGGTTCCCTTTTCTTCATTCCCTCTCCAGCATTTGTTATTTGTAGACTTTTTAATATGGCGATTCTGACTGGTGTGAGATGGTACCTCATTGTAGTTTTGATTTGCATTTCTCTAGTAATTAATGATGTTGAGCATCTTTTCATGTGCCTCTTGGGGGCCATTCCTCTTTGAAATGCAAATAGCTAGGGAGCTAGCACTCCTGTCTTCAAGACACCTTTGACTTAGCCTAGGGACCTACTCAAGAGCTGTAACTATTATATTTGGTCCACCTGGGAAGATAAGAAAATATAGTACTCTTTCAAATCAGGGCAATTAACTAGACAAATGGCTACATATCAAAATCCCCTGAAGAGTCTTAAAAGGCTATGGAAACACAGAAAACTTCCAGGGAGATTTTCTTTCTCCACACCTATTTACCTGGAAGGAAAAGGAAAGAGAAACTTTCTAGCTGATCTAGCTGATCTAACCTGCAGTCACTTGGATTTTGTGATCTAGCAAATTCAAAAGTGCCTGTCGTATCAATGGAATGTTGAGATGTTACAGAACCTGTGCAAAACCCTGGTGGATTTAGGTAGTAAAGTGTCCATGTGTATGAATGGATATCCAACAACAAGGATTGTCAGGAAGGTGGGGGACAAGCCCGTAAATAAGGAGTAAAGGGAGACTAAGCAATGAGCAGGACCACAGAAGCAGTCTGGGGAGAATGTCATGGTCACTCTGCTCCTTAGGCAAATGGCCTTTTATAGAGCAGCTGCCATACTCTCAACACTCTCACGGATAGTGCTGCCTGTGATCCAAGCCAGAGCAACCCCTGCACCAGGTCCTGCCCTTTAGAGGGCCCCACTTCCTGCACTCACATACGCACGCACACACACACACACACACACACGCACGTGCGCACACACACACACACACACATGTTAAAGAACATCCAGACATCCCTGACATGTGGGGTCTGGTGCTCAGGGCTGTCAGTGCAGGACCCATAACTGTAAACATCGTTCTTTTTTAAAAATAATTTTTGGGCTTCCCTGGTGGCGCAGTGGTTGAGGGTCCGCCTGCCAATGCAGGGGACACGAGTTCGTGCCCCGGTCCGGGAAGATCCCACATGCCGCGGAGCGGCTGGGCCCGTGAGCCATGGCTGTTGAGCCTGCGCGTCCGGAGCCTGTGCTACGCAACGGAAGAGGCCACAACAGTGAGAGGCCCGCGTACTGCAAAAAAAAAAAAAATAAATAATAATAATAATTTTTATTGGAGTATAGTTGACTTACAATGTTGTGTTAGTTTCTTCTGTACAGCAAAGTGAATCAGTTATACATACACATGTATCCACTCTTTTTAAGATTATTTTCCCATATAGGTCATTACATAGTATTCAGTAGAGTTCCCTGTGCTACACAGTAGGTCCTTATTAGTTACCTGTTTTATATACAGTAATGTGTATATGTCAATCCCAATCTCCCAATTTATCCCTCCTCCCTTCCCCCCACCCTGGTAACCATAAGGTGTTTTTTCTACATCTGTGACTCTATTTCTGTTTTGTAAATAAGTTCATTTGTACCATTTTTTTGGTTCCACATATAAGTGATATCATATGATATTTGTCTTTATCTGTCTGACTTCACTCAGTATGACAATCTCTAGGTCCAGCCATGTTGCTGCAAATGACATTATTTTGTTCTTTTTTATGGCTGAGTAATATTCCATTGTATATATATACCACATCTTCTTTATCCATTCCTCTGTCGATGGACACTTAGTTTGCTTCCATGTCCTGGCTATTGTAAATAGTGCTGCAATGAACATTGGGGTGCATGTATCTTTTCAAATTATGATTTTCTCCAGGTATGTGCCCAGGAATGGGATTGATGGATCATATGGTAGCTCTATTTTTAGTTTTTTAAGGAAACTCCATACTGGTTTCCGTAGTGCCTACACCAATTTACATTCCCACCAACAGTGTAGGAGGGTTCCCTTTTCTCCACACTCTCTCCAGCATTTATTGTCTGTAGATTTTTTGATGAAGGCCACTCTAATCGGTGTGAGGTAGTGCCTCATTGTAGTTTTTTTAAAAATAAATTTATTTATTTTATTTAGTTTTGGCTGCGTTGGGTTTTCGTCGCTGCACTTGGGGTTTCTCTAGTTGTGGTGAGTGGGGGCTACACATCGTTGTGGTGTGCGGGCTTCTCACAGCAGTGGCTTCTCTTGTTGCAGAGCATGGGCTCTAGGCACGCACTCTTCAGTAATTGTGGCACGTGGGCTCAGTAGTTGTGGCTTGCAGGCTCTAGAGCGCAGGCTCAGTAGTTGTGGCACACAGGCTTAGTTACTCCATGAAATGTGGGATCTTCCCGGACCAGGGCTCGAACCCATGTCCCCTGCATTGGCAGGCAGAATCTTAACCACTGCACTGCCAGGGAAGCCCCTCATTGTAGTTTTGGCTTTCATTTCTCTAATAATTAGTGATGTTGAGCGTCTTTTCTTCACATCTGTTCTATCCATTCTTTTTTTTTTTTTTTTTTTGCGGTATGCGGGCCTCTCACTGCTGTGGCCTCTCCCGTTGCGGATCACAGGCTCCGGACGCGCAGGCTCAACGGCCATGGCTCATGGGCCCAGCCGCTCCGCGGCATGTGGGATCCTCCTGGACCGGGGCACGAACCCGTGTCCCCTGCATCCACAGGCGGACTCAACCACTGCACCACCAGGGAAGCCCTGTTCTATGCATTCTTGATGCTAAGACACTAACACTGTTAGTGTCTTTTCTTGACATCCATTCTTGACACTAACACTGTTCAGGCCCTGCGAAAGCACTTCACATCTCTTGCTCTACATCCTTGAAACAAAAGGCAGGTATTCCTGATAAATGTTTGTGGGTGGCGTCCCTGCCAACATGAGAGACAGACACTGCTTCAGAGCACAGGGACAATTCCGGCAGCCAAAGAACTTAGGTAGAAGAAGAGAGAAATTAACATGTCCAAGCCTTCTCAGATACTATCAGGGCAATATAGTGTTGCATCAGGAAATAACATTTCTTAGCAATGCTGAACATCCTTTTTCCTGCTTCTCTTCTTGTTCTAATTTGTGGCCCTAAATATACCCATGAATTAATGTGGAACTTGCTGTAGTTGTACATGGCAGCTGAGGAAATTTTTGCAGTATTAACTCATGTTTCTCTTACCTTTGTATATATGTAGCTCTAATCTACCATTATTATTATTTTATTTATTTTATTTATTTATTTTTTGTGGTATGCGGGCCTCTCACTGTTGTGGCCTCTCCCGCTGCAGAGCACAGGCTCCGGACGCGCAGGCTCAGCGGCCATGGCTCACAGGCCCAGCCACTCCGCGGCATGTGGGATCCTCCCGGACCGGGGCACGAACCCGCGTCCCCTGCATCGGCAGGCGTACTCTCAACCACTGCGCCACCAGGGAAGGCCTAATCTGCCATTATTACTTCTGAAAATTAGATGTTGTTGCCACTGACAACAAAGGATTTAAGTCATTTGCTCCCAATTCAAAGTCAAGAGTTTAGGTATTGACAGATCAAGGACACCTATGTAGCAATGCCTGGCTGCAAGGGAAGTGGTGAAAGTGAATATTTGGTATTTGGGGCTCCTATGGTATCAAGTAGGCTTTGCCTCCTACCAGTTCCCATACGGTGAATATTAGCCAAGTGTAGAAAAATCATCGTATTTTTTCTGAAAATCGGGACCTATGGTCACTTTGAAATGAGTCTAGACACAACCCCTCTTTTAGTATCTTGATGAATTATTCCTGAAGAAAAGAGAAGTTACAAGAGAATGACAGAGGGTAAGTTCTTTTTTCTTTTGAGGAGGTATGAAATATAGGCTGAGGTTAGGGTTAGATGCCCAAAGACCTAAGTGTTCTGTAATCTTGCAAGGGTCCCTTCATCTACCTAGGGTTCAGGCAGTTCATACATAAAGTGAGAGAATTGAGCAAAATAATCTCTAACTTCTCTGTGTGCACTAAGAAATAATATATCATTCTTTTTCTCCAGGGGAAGTATAAAGTTGAGTCAAAGGCTGAAATGGAAATAAAGCTAGAAGTTCTCTCAAACAACAAGTACTGAAGATGCATTTTTCTTTTTACAGCCAATTTTCCATCTCATGTGGTTTTAAAAATAATGTAACTGTACTATATATCAGTGAAAAAGAATAAAATATCACTGCACACATCAAATTGGATGCATCTCAGAAAATAACATTGAGTGAAAAAGATCAAGTTGCAGAAGAATTCAGACAGTGATTCCATTTATATCAACTCAGAACATTTGCGACTAAACTACCCACTGTTTGAGAATATCAACATATGTGCCAAAACAAGGTAAGGATAAAGCAAAATTCAGGGTAGTGGTTTCCTCTAGGGAGGAGCAGTATGACGTCATGGAGTGATGCATAGAGGCCCTCAAAGGTGCCAAAAACATTCTATTCCTTATCTTGGGTGGTGGGCACGTGGTGGTCAATGTTATTGTAATTCACTGTACCTTATGCACATATTGTTAATTAAATTTTTGTATCCATTCAGTTTTTAATACGAACAATTAAAACTAAGTTGAGAACATGCATATTTTGATTCAGAGTAAATTTTTCTTCTCTATTGTGTGTGTTTCCATGTTCTTTATTTCTTAACAGACTTTCATGTTTAAGTAAATAGATATTTCACAAGAAACATGAAACAGAACCTTGTGCTTTGGGAGTTCTTCATATAAAAACAAAACAGCATCAACAACACAAGGTAAGAAAACATCAACAAATATGTAACAGGTACCTTTGCTAAACAAGAACTATATAAACGTGGATTGTGTGAGTTATGCATTTCTGCAAACAGAGAACTTTGGTGCCAGATTTCTCAAGCATCACCCTCTAGAGATATTATTAGCTCCTTACATTTGAATAACACAAATTCCCTTTATTCACAAATATTGAAAATTAGGGCTTACTCTTCCCCATTTCCTTGATCATGCAATTACTCGTTTTTAAATATCATTTTCCAGGTACTGCTTTGCGAGAACTGTTTTGCAAAAGAACACCAGGCTGTGTGAATGTTGAATCTGGATTTCTTGGCCGCACTGTTGGACCCGGGAGGCTACTGCTAGTAGATGGGTGACTTTTCAGGCTTTAGAAAATGCTTAATAAGTCATTAGACCCTTACTGCAGTTGGCGAGGCTTCTCAGCTCATAGACGATAAAACGTCTAGTGAGGGAGGGAAAACAACAAAACAACAGTGAGGTCTAAGATTTTATTTATATTTTCTTAAGATTTCTTTTTTTTGATGTGGACCATTTTTAAAGTCTTTATTGAATTTGTTACAATATTGCTTCTGTTTTATGTTTTGGTTTTTGGCCATGAGGCATGTGGGATCTTCGCTCCCTGACCAGGGATCGAACCTGCACTCCCTGCATTGGAAGGCAAAGTCTTAACCGCTGGACCTCCAGGGAAGTCCTGAGGTCTGAGATTTTAGAACTGTGAACTTTCCCCCAAGTTTAAACACATCAACAATGACCGTTATGTTCCCTGACATACCACACTCCCTCCTTCACCCACCAAATCCCAGCATGATTCAGATCCTGGGGGTCATGTAGGGGTGTGTGTGTGTGTGTGTGTGTGTGTGTGTGTGTGTGTGCGCGCGCGCGTGCGCGCCTGTGTGCATGCGCATGGGGGTGGGGAGGGAGATTGAGAGAGAGGGAGAGAGAGATGAGCTTCCTTAATCATGTTTCATTTCTCTATCCCCCAGATTATACAAAGAAAATAGTCTCTTATCTCATGTGAGTACATAGTAAAATAATTTTAATTCCTTGAAATTCAGTCCCTAACACTAGTCATAATTAAAATATAGTTTGAAAATGAAAATAATTGACTCAGTTGATTTAGACACACACACAATAAATTTTGGGGTTTGTCCTATCTGTGAATGTTTGCAGGAATGCGTTTCAAAGGCCAAAATCAAAGTAGCTCACAGCCATTTAGCCTAGAAAATGCAAAAGAAAGCCGTTTCCTTTCTTATATCTCGTTGCTATGGAAAGTTTCACAGTCGGGATATGCACCCTAAACTCTTTCAAAAATGGAATAGACAATGCAATAAAAGTGAAATTCATCTTTGTTCTAAACATATAAAACAGAGGCAGCATTTCATAGTAAAATTTATAGGATTTCTTTTCTATTAAGATGGAAAATAAGTTGTCTCCATTTGTAATTTTTATAGAGACAAGATTTCTTTTGCAGTTGTTTGAAAATACAGTGATAAAACTGGATATAACAGAGATAACATACATGACAGCTAAAAATGGATACAGAGAAAGACATACATAGTGACTGAAAATACATGCCTGAAAAGATGTCCACAGAATAATGACTTGAGGAACCTTGTTATTCCGTGGGTTATTGCCAGATGTGCATTTGTTTAAGCTGAAATGAAAGTGGAGAAACATTAAAGTGTGTAGAGAAACAAGATAATACCTGGTAGGAACCCAATCTTATGTGCAAGTCAAATTAAAGGACCCCATGATCAACATGGTCAAAAGCAACTGACATTTCTAACACAAATAAGGTCTGAAAATTTTGGTGGAATTGCTTATACTTCTATTCAGACTCCCTGAAACAGACCCTATTAAGTCAGACCAAATTGTACCAAGTGCCTTAAAGAGGTGCCTGTCTGTTTTAATTTTCCTGATGCTTCTAGCTGGGGCTTGGTCTAATAGTAATTGTATAGAGCTATTAGGAATGCATCTGATAGAAAAATGCAGTTGTCAGCTACTGCTTTATTATTTTATTCCTATACAATCATTTCTCTCATGACTATTGTTACATAAAATGATATATTGGCTACCAGCTCAGCTTCTAATTAAGCAACAGTGAAATTCTATAGTAATATCGGACTTAAAGGGAAGATTGTGGATGCATTTATCTTCAAACTTACCTAATTATTGTTAGTGTACTATTTAGGACATAAAGAAATCCACTCTATGAATGAGTTTTACAGTGCAATGCAGTTTGTATTATTTTTTTGAAATCTAATTCTTTAAACTCATTGGGTTTCTAAAACTTACCTTCCCTTCAAAAATATAGTTTAGAATGAATTTATAGGCAAGTAAGACATTTTCAGGCACTTGTTTTTGCATGTATTTGAAAAGTAGGTGCTATAGAAATGTCATATTTCATTAATAATATGTTTTGATTTTGATGTGATGAATCAATCAGAGAAACATTGAGCAGGTAAAAATTAATCTAAAGGAAATAGGGAATTCTTTTACAAATAGGCGACAGCTTCCAAATTAGCTAGAAATGAAAACAGTTGGTTAGTGAAACACAAGGAAGCAAAAAAAGAAAGAAAGGATTGATCACCAATCTATCCCTTGGTTCATTTGTGTCTATTTTAGGCACACGTAGTTTTCTCTCAACACCAGCTCTTTTCATTTCCATCTTTGTACGCCATAATTTGATATTTCCTGGGCCTGACCATCATAATCGTTAAGCTGTTTGCAAATGCCCAGGTGACCTCTACCCACCTGAGTTCCTGCCTGTCATTCTGACCACTCATTCATTTCCAAGACTGCTAATGTTCATTCTTGTGCTAATTGATCAAATACTATGTCAGCTCCAACTGGCCTCCTGTTGTTACCCTCAAATTGTTTCTTTTATTTTTTATTTGTTTGGCTGCGCCGGGTCTTAGTTGTGGCATGTGGGCTCTTAGTTGTGGCATGCGGGCTCTTAGTTGCGGCATGTGAGATCTTAGTTCCCTGACCAGGGATTGAACCCCGGCCCACTGCGTTGGGAGCATGGAGTCTTAACCACTGGACCACCAGGGAAGTCCCTCAAATTGTTTCTTTATGTTTAAGCAATGTATTTCCAACTTTGTAAGCTATCATAAAATAAGTACCTCCAGATACTGATGGGGGCTTTGCATATAATGTCATTTAATCAGCAACATTGCTATAGGGTAAATATAATTTTATTCTGAGTATATATGCATACATATATGGAGAGCGAGACAGGGAGAGAGAGTGCCAAGCCTCAGAAAAGAAAATGACTTGCCTGAAGGTCTCACAGCTTCCAAGTGGCAGAGGTAGGATTTGAACCCAGGACTCACCAACTTTGCAACAAGTGCCTTTAGAGGCCTTAAAACGGTTTGGTGGAGTTGTCAGCCCAGTGCCTAAGAAAGCAAAGTGGTCTGCTCAAGGACCATCTAAAGGGAAATAAAGGGTGGTGCACTAAGGATAGGATGGGTTAGCACATTTTTAAGTGAGGCCTGTGATGTTTGAGAAGTTGGTGATGATGTCAGATGAGTCTTCTGGGGTATCTGAGTGGACAGCAGACTATGGATCAATGAAAAAAAAGACTGGGTTTAAGGCTGTGGTTCTCTACTGGAGTGATTTGCCTTGCCTCCCTCCCCTGCCCTGGTGAATGTCTGGAGACCCTGGGAAGGGGGTTCCTACTGGCATTTACTGGGTAGAGGCCAGGGATGCAGCTAAACCTCCCACAGGGCACAGGGCGTACTCCACAGCGAAGAATTGTCGGGCCCCAAATGTCAATAGTGAGAAACCTGGGCTAGGGTGATTTGAAGGTAGAAGTGCAAGATACTGCTTCACCGGCCTATTTCAGTACCCTGGTTTTTCTTTGTGGAGCCAACTGTTTTCACTTAATTATTTCCAGTGAGTCTGATTTCAGTTATTTCAAAACGAATGAAGCCCTCATCAGCTTGTTCATTTCTGCTGGGTTGATAGCTGATTCACTGTTATGTAGTAGTTGCAAAGTCTTTAGTGATCTCTCTTCCCTCAAAGTCCTTTGACTCTAATGACTTTGAAGTAACTTCTAACTTAAAAACAGCCCTCGGCTTTGTCTGTGATGGAGAGAACATCCTCACTCTTTCCATTGTTTTTAAACCAGAGGTAATAGAACACCAAAAAAAAAAGGGGGGGGCTTCAGCTACAATCCGCTCCCACCTTTTCTATCTGTGTGAAACCCTGTAGAAATCTGAGATGCTATTATAGCTGGTGGCAGGAGACAATTTCTCAGAATGTGATATCATCAACACTGTCCAGTCTTTAAGTGGAGACACTTCCTCTTCATTCTCTGTACGTTTCTTTTCAGGACGCCACAATGAAATCATTCCTTTTCACTCCAAGATGGAATCTCAGACTTAGCGAAGTATTAGTAGCTTACATATTCATCCGACTTTTTGTTGTTGGAAGATAAGGTTTCTTCTGTGTCGAATATGAAAAGGCATTTTAATGCTATCTCTCTGCCTTATTCTCCCGTGCTTTTCCCTCTACGTGTTACCATTATTCATAGCAATGCCTTCTCTTCTTTTCATTTTAAATAGTGTGGCTTTGAAGCTGTGCAGACCCTGGTGGAAATAATCAGGGAGGATTTCATAGAAATATTGCTTCTATGGCAGCGTTTTCATTCCCTTCCTGACAGACTGGAGGAGAGCAGTGTTTGACGAGAATGTTTACTGCTCTTCTTTATCAGAATCCCCTCCGCTGGAGGACTTGAGAGATGAATCAGAAAGAAAGTATCTTTGTCTCCCCATTTCAGCCATTGATAAGCCGTTCACTGCTAAAGGATATTGATTATGATCTTGCACGGAGAATAGAGCAGAAGGACAGAGCGAAGCAGTTCTCGTTGGCGTTGCCCATTTTCCCTCTGACGAGCCGCTGCCTCCACAAAGCAGACCTCGCACGGAGTCGGGGGGAGCTCAGTGCCCTCATTTGCTAGAAAGAACGCCAGCCAACCCTCTGACCACCGCCACCTCCGTACAAGGTACTTGAGGCTCTACAGATAACAGAGCGGAACAGCGACAGGACTGATACAGAGCAGGGCCTTGTGAGGCTCCTGGGCACAAAGCCTTTCTGTGTCCCCCATTTCTTTGATTATAGCAAATAGCCTTCATTCAGCCTCCATGACCTTCCCTGGGTTCCAAGGGGGCAGATTCACGCAGTTGTTAATTAAGGAAGGGAGGGGATTTGAGACCAGGGAGAAACAGTTAAGAGAAACAATAGTGCAGCCTTGGGGCAAGGGTCCTGGTTCCCCATCAAGGGACACACACAACAATATCTTTGAGCTGTTTTGCAGAGACTGAAACCCCCTCCAGGTGGGAGAACTTAAGGATGGTATGCTTGCCCACAAGCATGTAGACCCCAGACCAGCTGGAACCTGAAGGTTGATGATGCCGACTTCTACTTACCTCACCACCAACCAGTCAGAAAAATGTCCACGAGCTGATCACGGCCTCTTTGAACCATGACTATAAAACTTCTCACTATCCTCCCCAAGTT